GCTTGTGCCTGTGGTTAATCAGCACCTCATGACAAATACGGCTGCCAGGGAGGTGTAGAATACCTGGGTAGAGAAGAAAGTTCTAGCTCTTCGTTTTTGTCTTTGACCTGGATGTAAAATGTGTGATGTCTACACAGTCACCAAATAACCAGAACAGGTGTGGGTGGGGTTCTCAGTTTTCTTATCTAATGTCTCTTACTTTCGATAGTCCTGTCATGTTTCTGGAGGTCACACTCTTCCCCCCTCCAGGATTGGGGTGTTATTTTACTTGTTCTTGGCTCACACTTTCACTGTGACCCAAGCCATTCGTACCTCAGGGTGGCCACAGGCTCTCGCCTGGCCTCTCGGTCTCTAATTTTTTTCTCCCCAATCTAGACTATCCAACCTTGTTTTTCCAATGGCATTTACATGCTTGACCTTATGGCTTAAATCTCCGGGTTGGATATATCCATTAGGATTAGACCGGGCTGCAAGGAATGGTGGCGTAAGTAAGATAGCTTATTTCTTCTTTCATGTAAAAGAAATCCAGAGGTATTTAGAATAGGACTGATTCGGTGGCTTCAGAGTCTCCAGGCACCAATTTTTCAGTGGCGTGCTCATAAACCGACTCTATGGAAAAAAAGTCCCTCAAAAAGAATGCAGAGGACTCGAGGACCCTCTAGCCTATGGGCCAAGCAGCATAGGTACCATAGAGTCTGGAAGGTGACTTAGGACAACCTAAGGCTAGTTATCCCATCATTAGCTTAAATCTACCTTGCGGTTCATCACCCCGAATGGGCTTTCGGAGAGGATCACGGGAGATCGGCATGCGCAGTAAGACTCAGGTCATGTATCTCCCGACCCTCCATCAAAGTGGTTCCATGACGAAGTCTGAACCACGGGGAGGTCCCTATCTGGACACTATAAAACTGGACCCAGACCATAACTAAGGCCTCCTTTGCTATGACAGGGGGTCCAGTCATCATCTGTGCCGTATATATCTTGCTCTGTAAACCTGTATCTTGCTCTTGTTCTATAATCGTTTCTTGCTTCCCCTCAATAAATTCGCCTCGTGCTTGTCTAAAAAAAAAAAAAATTCCCTGATTTGTAGTGTTTTTCAATCTCTGTGTTGTAAATACCACCATCACAGTTGATCTCAAACTACCAATGTGTCATCATTGAATTTGGGGAGGGGAAGAGATGAGCACAATCAGCTCTCACAAGCTGGCACAAGCTGGGTTCAATGACACTCTGTCCTCCTCCACAGGTGACACTTACCTCATGATGCATTATGGCTGCTTAGTTCCAGCCATCACATTCCCATTCCTGCTAACAGGGGAAAAAAAAAAAAAAGAGTGTCCCTTCTCTTTAAGGACATGTTCTGAAAGTCACACACAACACTTCTCACATCTTATTGATCAGAATGTAGTCACATGGCCATGCCCAGTGTCAGGGGAAACTGGAAAATGTAGTTTTCTCCCCTCTTGGTCACCATGTGCCTAGCTAAACATCAAGGATTCTGCCGCTATGGAGGGAGGAGAGAATAAAAAGTTGGGGTCCTGAGGGCAATCTCTACCGCTGCTGGCCAGGTCAGGCCATTCTGCTGCAGCGAGATGATCATTTACCTTCCTCTCGGGGTTTGGGGTGCTTAGCCCTGATTTTCTGACTGAGCAAGTGAGAGGAGTTTGGGTTGGGTTATTCCCGTTAAACTCCTGCTTGGAGAAGAGTTTGTGACTCAGCTTCCATTTTGAGCCTTTGAGTTTCCCCAGTGGTGTGGTTTTAGTCTCTCATTCATTCACTCAACAAACATGTAGGCAGCATCTACTATATGTAGATACAGGTCATGGAGCTGACAGTCTAGTGGATGAGATATATTAAGTAATCACACAAATATAAATATTTAATGACATAATGTGATAAGTGGCATAAAAGAGAACATGCTATGAGAGAGTTTAACTGGAGGCTGAATTTATAACGGGTCATCAGGAAGGTCTTTTTGAGAAAATTCGCTGTTTCTTTTTTTCTTTGCATTGAGAATCACAGCGATTCTCAGCTGCAGCCTGGGTCAGAGGACAGCTGGACGCTGGCTGGTGGCTGAGGTGGTGGCTGCCCTGTGACCTCTTGAGACCCAGCCAGGCTCAGAGCTGCAGAAACCAGATACCTCTCTGTCACCACCCAGGTAGGAAGTGACTAACTTCTTTGACAGTTGAGGGATGTGAGATGGGCGTAGGTGTAGGAGGACGCCCGGGCTGGGAAAGGAACTGCAGAGGTGTCGGGGGCTTCTGAACAAGTCTAGACCCTTCAACAGACCAGGGCAAGGCCCCCCAGAATGGCCAGAATCAAGAATCGGCATTCTACACATACCGGTGCTGGGGGATTTATTTATTTTAACAATTAGGATTTGGAGCTATGCTGTCTAATACAATAGCCACTAGCCACAGGTGGCTATATAAATTACAATTAACTAAAAGTAAATAAAATAAAAAATTCAAGCTGGGCATGGTGGCTCACGCCTGTAATCCCAGCACTTTGGGAAGCTGAGGTGGGAGGATCACTTGGGGCCAGGAGTTCAAGACCAGCCTGGGCAACATAGTGAGAACCCATCTCTAAAAATTAAAAAAAAAAAATCTTAAAATTCAATTGCTTAGTTTCACTCTCCACATTCCAAGGGCTCAACAGCCACATGTCCTGGACAGTATTACATTGGACAGTGGGGACATGGGACATTTCCATCACTGCCAAGAGTTCTGTTGGACAGCGCTGGTCTGGGGCACGGGCTTTGGAACTGGGCAGACTCGATTTGGCATCACGTGTGACTGTGTGATCTTGGGCAAGTCGCTTCCCCTCTCTGAACCTCACTTTTATCCTATGCATGTGAGCACAGTGACATCTACCTGACACAGAGGCGGGGGGAGAGGGATCCGGCTTCAGGGAAGGAGCAACAGGGTAGTAGGATGATTGGAAAGCGAATTTCAGAGCCGGACAGCCTGGTTTGGACAGCAGCTCCAGCATGTTCTGTCTGTGTGACGCCTGGGCAAGTCACTTAAGCGCTCTCTGAGCCTCCCCTGCTTTGTCTGTAGAATGGGGGTGCATTCTCTTTTCCTCGGCGCGTGCAGTGGGGACGTGACACATGAACCACAGAAGGTGCATGGCCAGTGGCTGCACGTGGAGAGCCCTCAAAAGACGCGATTCGAACTCAGGTCCACTGCCGTAGCTGCTGTTAGAGCTAATCCCAACGCCATGTTAGGGGGCTTCGTGTTGTGAGAAGCGCTGTTTCTCCAAGGTGACATAAATCCACGGAAGAGCTGCGTCCATACTCCTGTCCCCTGTGCCTGCCACCTGTCAGGGTCCTCCCGTGAATGGGGTGTTAAACTCGAGAAGCTCAAAACCACGTGGTTGATCTTATCTACACACGTGCCACGGATTTCTGGGGGCCACCCCCCCAACTTCTCGTGAAGACAGCCTCCATCAGAAATCATTCAGAAGCTTTTTGTTTTTGCTTTTTGAAAAGGAGCAAAAATATTACTCTGGGGCTGGGTGCGGTGGCTCATGCCTGTAATCCTAGCACTCTGGGAGGCCAAGGTGGGAGGATCTCTCAAAGTCAGGAGTTCGAGACCAGCCTGAGCAAGAGTGAGACCTCATCTCTACTAAAAATAGAAAGAAATTATCTGGACAACTAAAAATACATATACAGAAAAAATTAGC